AAAAAGCTCTGAGAAATATATTAGGTACTCAAAATTATCTTTTCAATTCAATTTATTTCAATTCAATTCAATTTATGTATTTATATTCGAGTTTTGTACATAGTAAGACTAAGTCATTTAGTAGTACATCTTAAGGTAATAACATTTTAACTTATAAACTAATAAACTAATTTTGCTTCGTATAGAATGATAGATGAATTAATTATTTATTGAAACCGTTCAGGAAATTAAAGAAAACTTAATACTGCCATTTTAAAACACCTTGTATGCCTTATGCGTTTAATATCAAGTGGTAAAGAATTCCATAACTTCATTGTGCTAACGAAAAACATGCGCTCTGAGGCAAGGTATTCATATTTTGGAACAATAAGATTTAATGTTCTTTGACACTGACCTAGTTTAATATTTTTATAGAGGTAAGATGGTTTTTGGGAGTAAATTATCTTATGAAGAAATCCAACCGTACGCAACTTGTAGTATGAACGTAGATCACTGTCAAGAATCTATTTAGAATAGTGCGAGATATGGTCATACTTTCTTTTTTCAAATACGAAACGTGCTGCATTGTTTAAAACAACTTGCAACTTCTGATGTGATGCAGCGTCAAGGTTGCAGTATATAAGTTCTGCATATGAGATGTGCGGAACGACCAGTGCCTTAACGATTTTTAATTTAGTCTGTTGAGGTAACTGGTAGGCATTATGATATAGCTTTCTAAGAATGTTGTAAATTTTGTTAACTTGTTTGGTTAATCCTAAGTTTGTTACATTATCTTCATGTTTAATATCTGTTCCATCAAGCATTAGCGGAGAAGAACCGGTGAGGTCAAAATGTTTAGCCGACAGTGATTTTTGTCCACTTGGAAATTCGAGAGAGATCTTCATTGGTCGCTTCTTTTTCATTTGGTAGGTTGGTCGGCAAATAGGTGCAACAATGCACTTTCAACATGGTCTGGCAATACTCTAATACCATACATAAGAATGGGCAGGCAACCATGAATGCATTTTGTATATATAGTGTAAATAAAATTATATCAAAATTTCAAGTCTTCTAAAGTACGTTGAGTAATCGGTTTTTATTGACATCTTTAATAGCTAAAAATGCATAATCGAGACCGCTGTTCAGCAACCAGCCCTCCGGATCTCGATTTATATATTCGGGCCTATTCCCGTTGGCGTTGTCTTTATAGTAATCGTTAATATGTTGTGGTCGTTTTTATCGTCGCTTCGTTTCTAAATTTGCTTTCTCGAAATATATTGAAACGACGACGAAAAGTTTCGAAAACTAAAAAAGTATGGTAGCGCTGCAGTATTTTGCGTCGTTAGTTTTGACATTGAATTTTTAATTTCGTTATGTTATCGAAAAATTAAAGTACGGCGAGTACGAAATTTTATTTTTCAAGTTCAAGTAAGGACAATGAAGTAAACAATATAAATAAACATCGCAGGATGTTACGACATAGCATTAATATACTAACACTTCCAGATACAATGTAAGAAAATGTATTTTATAAATTATTTATAAATATATATATTATATATGTACATGTACAAATGTGCATATTTTTTAGATGTGTGAACACTTTAGATACATATTTACTTTGCATTGGAAGCTGAAGCAATAGTTTCCTGTAATGGTTTCTAAACCTCATCATAAATCCTACCTTCCCCAAATGATGCTCAACATGAGCTCAGAAATAGTATTTTTTGACAAACGGGAAATATATGTGTTTTTCAATCGACACTCCTTTGTATAGGGATATACATATGTACATTAGACTGCATCACTCCCCATACAAAAAAAAAATTGATACTTTTTTCCATTGGAATTATAAAATCTATTATATTTTAAGACTTCCACAAAAATATCTCGCAAAAATATTAAGATTTAAGTGAGCTGGACCGATTTGAAAATGCCTAAAAAAATTTAGTTTTTTATTAATAAAAACAGTTTCTTGAAATATTTTTGACAGATGACTAAACAGTTTAAGCTTATAAAGTTTGCATCAAACAAACATCAACCAAAAATGAAATTTGCATAAAAATATTTAAAAAATATTTTCTACGGAATCATGATAATGAGTCCTTTGATCCTGTTTTTGAACTTTATTCAAAGACTGGTTTAAGAAAACTTGAATAACTCAGCCAAAACCTTACCAATTTAGACTTATGAGGTATCATTGGTAAGGTATTTTCTTATCTTTTTTATTTCCGTGCGAATAAGCTCATTCAAAATATGAAAGAGGAAGGTATGATAAACGAGTGTCATTCCATGTTGAACTAAGATGTGTTGGTATTTGATAAAGAAAATATTGGGACGTGAATGAGTTTTTTTGCAAAGAAGTAAAAAGAGTGAGAAAATACCTTTCCACTGATGCCTCAAAAGTCTATATCGGTAAAGTTTTGGAGCAGTTATTAAAGTTTTTCTTTCACAAATCGTTGAAAAAAGTTAAAAAACAGCATCAAAAATCTCATTATTATGATTCCGCTGATAAAATTTTTTAATATTTGTATGAAGATTTTTTAAGCTTAAACTCTTTTGTCATCTGAGGGGATTTTTTCAAAAAATCCTTTAAGAAACTATTTTTATTCATAAAAACTCTATTTTTAGAGGTATTTTCAAACCGGTCCAGCTCACTTAAATCTTAATATTTCTCCGAAATATTTTGGTAGAAGTTTTAAAATATACTAAGTTTTGTAATCCCGCCGGAAAACCCGTAACTTTTTTTGGTGATGCAGCTAATGTACATACATACATATTTGAACTACTTATTAACCAATACTTTAACACTCATTATCTACATTTTTTAGTGCATAGTTTAAAGGTTTTACCTGTTTAGCAATAATCGCCGAATAGAGGCGTATATATACCAAATGACCATGCAACCAGCAACCGGAGATTTTAGTGGGAAAATTTTATGTTAACGAGGTGTAGGTAGTCAAATCCTACCATTGTACTTTGTGCATAAGTACTTGCTAACGTATATAGATTCGCTTTAAGGTTATTGAGAAATGGATGAAGTTGAGAGACGATCTCTAGTCATATTTTGACACTTACGCCATCAAGTTCTTGTAATACGTAAAACCATGATACGAAAAAGAAGGTAGTTTCATTTAAGGACTGGTAAGAACTGAGCGAATTTGGTGCGATGTGGCATCAACGAAATGTCAAAATAAATGAATGTCGAGAGCAAGAAGAATGTAAGAAATAAAATGTAAGAGTAGTAGTAATTTGAATTCAGCCAAATAAACATCGTTGGGTTTTTATACTATTTTTCCCAACGTTAAAAAATGTATCTGAGTTTTATTTTAATAGTTCCTCTTAGAAGAAACATTGGTCCGTGTCGAGCCGGATTTGTGATCGGCCTCGATATAGATAAGAGATAATTTAGAAGTGCTTACATACATGTATGTGTGCAAAGGAATTTGATGTGGCGAAATTCATATCGCTTGCTAGAATACTCGTTGGCATTTCAAGTGGTTTCAATCAGAGAAACAGAGTAAGGGATGGTTTTGTTTCATCGTATCTGTGTGCGCATGCTTATAGATAACGAGCTTTGCGCAAGCTCTGTGAAATGTAATGGTGTTCGTTGGGGAGGAGTTGAGCTGTGTATGTGTATGCACACATACATACCCTGCAGGGAAACCGCGGACTGGTGAATCAAATTTCTAGTTCCGTACTAGGTCTTTATCGCCAAAAAGGAACCAGTCCGATAGGAGCTAGATCCCCTCCAGTCCGAAATCGGCGAAAAGTGGTACTTTTAAAAAAACGATTTTTTTTCAGTTTTTTCACTAGAAATCTATATCTAAAGTGACGAATTTAGAAATGGTTCGGAACTATAGAAAAGGGGATGCAGAACGAACTAGATCTTATTTGTCGAATTTAGAACCAGTTCGGAACTATCGAATAAGGGATGCAGCGCGGGGCTTGTTTACTTTACATAGATATGTGTTCGGCGGCTTTTTCGTTCAAATACGCTTCTATTCTGTGCTTCGCAGATGCTTTTTCACTGCTTGGTAATACAAAACAAAGCTTTGTGTTAACATATTAACATCTTGGGGCCATCTGGAATCTAAGCAATAACAGCGAGCACCTCTGCAAAGTCAGCTACAGCAAGGTATGTAAACGTACATTTCTTACAATCATTCAAACAAATTTAATTTCAAATTGAAAAAACGTTTCTTTGAAAATAATGTAAAATCGCACACGGAAGAACCGAAAAGATTGAAAAATCATAATACTTTTTTCTTTCGTCTGTCGATTTTAGAACTGGTTCGGAACTATATATTTTAGGACTTGTTCGGAATTATCGAAAAAGGGATGCAGCGGGGGGCAATTGACACTTCCTAGGACATCGCCATGTTAAATTCGCCAGTTGCTTGCATGCAAAAGAGATTTATCGCGAACCAGTACTGGGTCTAAATGTACTAGAAGCGCCCCAGTTCAGAACTAGAGATTTTCTCCACAGGGTATACGTGTGTTTATGTGCTTTTGAATGGTTTCAGCGGTGCACGAAATATAAGCTGGATGCGCGTCTGTGGCAACAACTATATTAATGGCAACCGACCTCTTTTGAAACATTGAAGCATTGCATTAAGAATAGTTGTGACAGACGATGCGAGAATTGTTGCGAGAAGGAAAAATGATTATTCCTTGAAAATGACAAAGGTGAAAAGAGCGAAGAGAATGGAATTCTATAGAATTTGTGAAAGGATTATGTGAAAGAAAGAGGATGAGAAAAGTATTGCCATGCGTATACATACATATATTTGCGTAGATGTGTATGTGCATGTACTATCCCTACAAGACATTGCTGAGCACTTTAGGCAAAAATTCTCACACATTTACACTTTTGTTTTTGTAGTACGGCATAAATGAGTAGTTTGACTATTAGTACTGAGGACTTTCTGATGACAACATTGAGGGGAAAGTACTCAATTTTTTCCCATGGCCTGAACGAAAATGAGGACTTTGATAAGCACTTTGATGATTAGGGGTAATGATAATATGAGTACTCATATGATACTCAGCTGTCTTGTAGGGATGTGTTACAGTCCACTAGACGGTATTTATTTCTCATGAGATAGATGTATATGTATGTGCTTGGTGTGACGACAGATAGTTGCACCTTTTAAGAGATAGAGAGAAATTGCCAAAAGTGCATACACACGGCAACACGATGGCGTCAAGCGACAAGAAAAATAGCGAACGTTCTGGAATTGAAATCCATTTGGATGATATTCTAGATTGCTTGCATATAAGATAGAGTGAAAAGGTATCAGAATGAAAGAATAGCAGTCGTATCGTGATAGATTCTGGCGTCGCCTAAGAAGCGTTGATGATGAAATTATTTGGTTAATCGTGAAAAGGACAGTTTGTGACAAGAACATAACGCGATAAAATTTTGAGAAATATTTACTAGTAAATAGAGAAAATATTTATTATTATTTTGACGAGAGATTGTTGAAAGACAGTGAGTCCATCTACTCTACTTTTTGTAGAAGTAGAGAAAAGTGTATAAAGATTAGAAATGGGTAAATTAACATATTCTTTTTATTGTATAGACAGCAGAATGGGAGGACAAGATATTTTGGAAAGTTTATGCAAGTCAATTTCGCGCATCATGGAATACTGCCAACATACCGAGTTCAAAAACGCAACACTGGAGCAAGTGAAAGTTCGCGCTGAGAAGCTGGAAGCTTATTATGGACGATTTGTAGATACACATGAGAAGCAGTTGGATCAAGATGCTACACAAGCAAGTACATATGACGACATCGCAGCTTTAGTGGAGTCGCGCTATTTTACGGCACAAGCCCTGTTGGCTGTTAAGATCAAGGAGCTCACACCTGTGTCAGCGCCAATTTTGCATGAGCAGCAGCCCTTCGCGGTCCAGGTAAACATACCATATCAACAGCATGACTTAAAAAATACCTGGGGTAATTTTGACGGAACATTAACTATGTGGCCTGGGTTCCGTGACCGGTTTTCCGCTGCCATACATGAAAATAAGAAT